CCTGCAGATGCTTCAAGGAAATCCCACTCGCCTCACGGTCGGTGGGGGAGGGGAGGGTGTCCGGAAGTGGATGCCTGCCTCACCTCGTCCCTGGAGGAGCCCCCACTCTCAGGAATGCCCTCTGTTGTCTAACTTAATTCCCTGTTCTGCATCATAAACCTCCTGTTTTGCCGCCACCCAATAATGCGTCTGAGCAATGCTTTTCAAATGACAGAAAAGGAGAGCTCCAAGGAGAGCAGTTTCTTCCTGTGCCCTTAGCCCTTAGCTTCTGATGACAAAGTGGAGTGCCCGTAGCCCCCAGCCCCAAAATCACACCCCATGGTCCAGTAACCCCAACGCGCCACTGTCAATAACAATAGTAACAGCTGATATTAACTGAGCATGTACTATGTGCCAGGCACATTTCAACCTCCCGCCTGTTATAGCTCCACGTTATAAGTGAGACAACTGAGCCTAGAGAGGTTGGTAACTTGCCTGAGAGACCCGGATTTGCCCACCAGAGGTCCAATTAGTGCTGGGAAGTTATTTCAGTTAGTCCTTATTTTTGGTCAGCTCCTAGGATTTGCAGCCAGCCAGAATTTGTTCTAGAGCCATAGTTTTCAAACTTGAGAGAGCATCAGAATCCCCTGGAGAAAAGTTACAGCTAGCTCTGCCCAGCACCCGGAGTTCTGCTTCGGTAGGTCTGGAGTGGAGCCTGAGCCTTTACATTTCTAAAAAGTTCCCAGGGAATGCTGTGTGCAGGGACCACACTTTGAGAACCACTGTGCGACAGGATTTGTGTATACCAACTCAAATTTGTTTGTTTGTTTTTTGAGACGGAGTCTCTCACTGTCGCCTGGGCTGGAGTGCAGTGGCACAATTTGGCTCACTGCAACCTCTGCCTCCCAGGTTCAAGCGATTCTCCTGCCTCAGCTTCCTGGGTAGCTGAGACTACAGGTGCTCGCCACCACATTCGGCTAATTTTTTGTATTTTTAGTAAAGATAGAGTTTCACTATGTTGGCCAGGCTGCTCTTGAATGCCTGACCTCGTGATTCACCTGCCTCAGGCTCCCAAAGTGCTGGGATTACAGGCAGGAGCCATCTTGCTCCACCCTAACTCCAACTTTTATTAGAATGCCCAAAGGCAGGTATAATGTTCCCATTTTATATATGATGGAATTGAGGCTCAGACAAGTTAAATTGATTTTCCCAGGGCCACATAGTAAATGGTGAATTCGAGACTGAGCATTTACTATAGGATAGAAGAGGTATTTTATATACACTGTCTCAACCCTCATAATCATCCTATAAGTTACTATTTTTATTCTCAATAAACAACTGAGGAAACAGGCTTAAAGAGATTACCTTGCACATGGCCAGCCACCCAGTGAGTGGCATAAGCAGCACTCAGACATTAGCCCCCCTTCCACCACTCTGCCACGTGCTCTCCAGGAAAACAATGCTGTCCTGGCATAGCGCTCCATAGAACCCCTGCCTTTCTGTTTACCTCTGCTCTCTGCCCCATCTCCCCCAGAGGTCTAGGGACCGAAGCCAGACACAAGAGCCCACTCTCCAGGCTGCGGCCAGCACTAGAACCTTCTGATGGGAGACACCAACTCTGCTTCCCACCCTCCAGAGTCCCCACAAACAGGAACTGAATGCAGAGCGGTGGACAGCAAAGCTCTCGGACAAGGCAGCTTCCTGATAACTAATGGCCTCTGTCCGGGCACCAAGGAGTGTGGCAGCTCCTACCACAATGCTCATCAGCATACCGGTCCAGGAATCAGCATCCCGGAGGAGATGGGGGAACTCAAATCAGTGCCCAAATCTCCCCACCTCAACCCCAGCCAGAAAGAGAGGTTCAAGAGCACAAAAGATACATGTCAAAAGGGAAATCTTGTTGATTGATTTAAATAGAAACAAACAAACAAACAAAAAGAGCAAAAGACGGGTCCAGAAGAGAGGAGAACACTATTTCTTTAAGGTCTGGCTCATGACACAGTACACATTTCTGCCTGGTTTGTGTGCGCCTATATGGATGACTTAACTCTAATACACTCAGGACTCTGCGAGTGAAGCATTGCCATTTCCTTAATAGCTACGAGGGGAAGATGAAAATTGGCAGAAATGGCTTCACAGAGTCCAGAGCCCTGCCCCAGTGAAAGCATCAGAGAGGGTGGGCTTCTTCAGTGCACGGCCCTCCCAGCCGGGTGTCATGCCGTCCTGCCAATTACATCTGGGAGGATCCTGCACAAGAAAGCCAAGAGACCTGCCTTCCATACCCAGTGTCTCCTGTGAGGCTGCTCTGTGGGGAAGGGGACAGCCAGAGGCAGATGTTGGTCCACAAAGGACCCCAAGGGAGGCTTCAGGATGACCAAGCCCAGAGAGGACTGGTGAGCACACGCAAGCAGGCCCCACTCTGCTAGCTGACCTTGAGAAAGTCAGAGGTGCCACATTCAGTGAACGGATCCCCACGCCAGGGCTGGGATGCCTGTCCTTCCTACTTCTAGAGCTTGGTGTGAAGCCAAAGCAGTAGATTATAAAACACAAGAAGGGCTCCCGTGAGTGGGCACCCTGCAGGTAGAGGAGGGTGGTGTTTGAAAGGGGAGCAGGGGACAAGGGTGTCCCTTATCACAGGTAACCAGGGCACCCCCAGCTGCCCTTAATAACCAGTGTCAGCCAAGAATGTCTCCCGCCATGTTACGTTGATCCGTATTTTCACCCTGTGCTACATCTTGGCTTATTTCCATGTGGCCATGTCCCTGAAGTCAAGAAAGCCTTGCTTCGCTTTTCTAAACTTAATTCTAGAATGTTAAAGTGGACATGTGTGTGTTTGGTGGGGGGCCTCTTTCTGGCATTGTGGAATTGTTGAACAAGTCTTCCCAGTCATGATCCCCTGGATTTCAATCCTGAACCCGAAAACCTTGCTTTTCCTCACTAAAAGGCCCTATATCCATTTAGCCACTCTCAGAATGGCCATTTTCTTTGCCTTCTCCGAAGTCCGTGGCCCCCTGCCATCCTCATCTGGGGCTTTCTCTGAAGATTGACTCAGGATCACTTTTGTTAAAGTGGAAAAGAATGGGCACGTGCAAATCATATTGTTAAATATTCACACCAGCAGGAATATTATGGCAGCTGCCATATATCCCAAGACAAATGTGAAGGCAAGAAACCTTCCCCCACACTTTCCCACATCCAGGGATCAGTCACAGCCACACCAGAGTGGTGGGAGGAAAGAGAGTCAGGCCAGTACAGACTCTAAGTGTAGCTCTGAGGGCTTGCTGGCATGGCAAGGGGACACACGACTGACTAATAGGGAGGCTGATACACTCCGGCCCAGGGAGGTAGAGGGGCTTGAAGTTAGAGCTGGGAGGCAGAAAGTGAGCGGAGGCCGGCAGGACCGGACCCCTCCTGGGGTGGAGGCCCTGGGGGCCTTGGGAGGCAGAACTGGGCTGGCAAGGCCCCTGGGCCCAGAGACAAAGGAAAGATTTCAGCTCCCTCTCCCTAGGCAACCTGACTGCTTCCTTCGTATCCCCAGGAGCTTTGCTGGGATGGAAGCATGCCCCTGAGACAGCACGGGACATTCAATGAAACTAGCTTTGCAAACAAGTCCCAGCAGCGTGCCTGCCCCTCCTCTTACAGGCCACAGAGCAGCTTGTGTTGGCATGACCCGCCCCTGGTTTAGGCAGAGATCCCTACACCTTCCTGAGGACTGGCAGCAGGGCAAGGTGGTCCCACTGTGCCCCGTCTCCCTCTCATGCTGATCCCACCAGAAAGGGGGCAGTCATAAGAGCTTTGGGACCCCAGCCTTCTCTCGGGTGCTCCCACAGGCTTGCACCTCCAGCAGGTTCAGGAGAACCAAGCGTGTTTTCCAGATTCAAATCTGGGACTCCAGATTCAAACTGCCTCCACTTCTCCCCTTCCCTCTCTTCTTCCCCACAGTCTCCTTGCTTCCTCTTTCCTTCTTCTTCCTCTGAGTGGGACTGAGCACCCTCTCCTTAACTGCATTCTCTTTAAACAAGCCCTTAATAAATATACACCAGGGGAAATAGGGTTGTGCAAGTGATAATTAAACACAGATCACAGCAATTAAGTAAATGGGGGAACAAGGAAAGAGTGGGCAGGGCAGAGATATTACCAGTTACATGCTTAGGAAAAGACTGGAATCCACAAGAGCCTCAATGGCAATGATACAGCCTTGGAAACTGCTTTTCAGTTTAAGAAAAGAGCATTTTGTTAGGTTATCAAAAATCACTTTGGTCTCAGTCTGTGGGATTGTGTTTGATATGGGGAGAGGGGAAGAGGACTCCTGGGAGTCCACTGCTCTGTGTTCAGTCTCTGAAGCTGTGAAAACAGCAGCTCTAGGCCCCCCAAGCCTGTATCCTTCCACACTCATGCCCCAGAGCCTCAATCATTCTTCAGCCCTAAGCACAATCCCTATTGACCTTCCCCCTCACCAGACTTGGGTTAACTGGGAAGCAGTGTGGTGTGACAGAGCCCAGGAAACCCAGATTCTGTCCCATTTGGCCATCAGTTGGCCATGCGTCCCTAGACAAGTCACCATCCCTCTCTGAACCATGACTTCCTAATCCTTAGGAGAGCTCTGTGTTCTGGGTCCCCAAGTCCCTGCCAGCCCTGATGCTCCCAGGGAAAACCTCCAGTTGGCTGTGCACCCGTCTCTGTGTCTCCCCCACTGGACTGAGAACAAGGATGTCATCTATGTCCTAAGCTCAGACCGATGCCCCTGTGAGGGCTCAGTCAGCATTGCCTGGTCAAGGGCCAAGGGGACTTTGGTTGGAGTCCCTCTGCAGACCAGTGGGGCAGGGGCAGAGCCAGAGCAAATGGGGCCAGTCCTGCAGGTCTCCCACCTACCAGTCACTTTGCTCTCTCCTGGGCTCCCAAAGGCTAGCTCAGAAATTCATCCAAACCCATATCAATAGGCCTTAGCCCCCACCTGGTCTATACAGCTGACCAGTCCTTGGAGAGGGTGGGGCATGGGCGGAGAGGCCATCCTTCCTGCTCTGTTCCCCAACAGTGTTGGATTAGACAGACATTTCTCTTGCCTCCTCTGGACTCAGGAAGAATGATGACAGCTGGTCAGAGTCTGCCCTCATGCAATTCATGGAGAGGGGTGGCTGTGGGAAGGTTCAGGCGGCTCGTGTCCCATCTACATACTGCTGAATCCTATTGACATGTGCCAAAGCAGCCCTAAGAAGTTTAGGACCAAAGGCCTAAACTTTGGTTTGGCTGGGGGCTCCACTGTCCCAGACAGGCCTCATTCTCTCCTGTTCTCCATTCTTCTGTCTCTTTGCATCTCTCCGTCCCCCCCTTGCACCACTCCTGCACTCACTCACGCTCTCTCTCTCTCTCTCTCTCTCTCTCTCAAACACACACACACACACACACACAATCATTTTTAGGGCCCTCTTGGTTGCCCACTGAGGCCTGGTTCTATGAGTATTCTAACAAACCAAGGACTGGCATCCCACCACCCAGGAAGGTAACCCAGAGGTGTGAGGTGGGGTAGTTTAATGACTGTATGAGTTTGAATTCCTCAGTGACCCCCTACCCCTGCCATGGCCACCACGGAGACCTAGGCTGATCTGAGGTAGGATGAGGGGAAGTAGCATGGAATGGCGCTGTGCCCATCTGGTGCAAAAGAGCCTCAGGCCTCACTGAGGCCCACTTGGTTAAGGTCACTGTGAAAGCAGCATGACATCTTGCCAAAGGTACAGGAAAAAACACCGGTGTCTTCCATCTAGCGGTACAGATGTAAATAAACATCCCAAGTACAAGAAATACTGTCTCCCCTCTTCACCACCAGGCACCAACCTGCTAGGTCTGCACACAGTTTACATTCGCAGAAACACTAGCCACTTCCTGTATCAGCTTCTATCTCCCTGCTTTCAGCACAAATACCTACACCGCGTGTCTTACCCAATGCAGGGAGCTGCCAAAAGCCAAATCTGACCAATACAAACAGGAAGAGATGCCGTTGCCAGAGCTGGAGTCGGCTTACATTAAAGTCTGGCTATGATTTATGAGATTACATTCTGGACTAATAAATATTCCCTAATCTCTTGGAGTTTGACAGTCAAAACTCTCATGTGCATATTAAAGATATTAATAATTCTTCTCCCTCCGTGTCCTCTGGACATGTGTCCTCTGTCTCCATATTCACTCCAAAAATGAAGAGCCAGGAGCAGGTCAAACAGGTCTTCCCCATGGAATTTCTTTGCAGGAAGAGAAACAAGGCCCTTCCTAAAGGGCCTTGAATGATCCCGCAAGCCCCTCCAACCCCTTCCAGCTTTCAAGTGCCTCTACAGAGAAGCCAGTGGGCCCTGAAGGAGGTAGAGGGCAGAGGGGCAAAGCAGGAAAATGGCCCAGGAAGAAGGGGACTCCCCCACCCCCCATTGGTGCCTGCTTGGTGCCTGGGAAACATGCGAACGGCTCTGGGCAGGGAGGGAAACCACCATCCCAATAGCCACACGTGCAATCCACCTGGCATCCCCTGCACCCAAGGCACGGACCCCCTCCTCCAGCATCCCGAACCTCTGAACTCGTAGACCGGCGCTGCAGCCCCAAGATCCAGCCCCAAAAACCTGGAGCTGAAGGCTCCAGATACAGCAAAAAAACTAATCCGGAGACTGGCGGGCTGAAGGGGTAGAGGGCGACACGCAGGGTCCCCAGGGAGCACAGCCTCTGAACCAGCGTCCTGGCGGGCTGAAGGGGTAGAGGGGGACACGCAGGGTCCCCAGGGAGCACAGCCTCTGAACCAGCGTCCAGCAGGAAGCCTGCGGCCACCGTCCTCATTCCGTGCTGCACTCCAAAGCCCACCCTATCCTAGGCATCTCCCTTCTCCAGTGTCCCCTTCTTTGGGGTTGGGAGGAGGAAAGACAAGAGACCAAGCTGGGGCTGCCTTACCCAAAAGCCCAGTGCCCAGCCATCTCGCCGGGGCTTTGCCTCGGTCCCCAGCCCCGGGCATAGTCCTGTTCTCTCCGGAGCGCGCCAGGGGCGCGGGGATGGAACACTGGGCACAACCGCGCTCTCCGCCCGAGGTCGGCATTCGGCCACCAAGCTGCCCCGGAGCTCTGCGCCGCAGGTCGGGGCTCGGGAAAGTTAGCCGGCAAAGAGCGAGAGGAGGGGGAGGGAGGGAACGGAGGGGGAGGCGCGCTCGCCCGCCGCTGGAAGCCGGCTGCGGGAGCGGCGGCGGGAGGGAAGGAGGAGGAGGAGGAGCCGGAGCAGGAGCGGGAGGAAGACTGAGCGAGCGCCGCGGCGAGCAAGGCTGTGCCTCTGCTCTGGAAGTGCTCCAGCCGCAGGAGGGGCGGTGGCCGCCGCCGAGCCCAGGGAACCCCCTCCTGCTGCGCACCCTGCCCCGGGCTCCCAGCCTCGAGGTCCCGGAGCCCCCAGACCAGGCCGTGCCCCCAACTCCCTCTCCAGTGGGGCTGGGCTGCTGCGGCTGGCACTGCAGGGCCGGCCCGCAGCAGCCCGCATCATCCCTTGCGCTGAGCTGCCAATTAGGAGCACAGTTCTGGGGGCAGTAGAGGTGGAGCTTTTCTGTTGTTGGAAGGCTTTTTTGCTCTGCTTCTGGGGAACACGGGGAGGTTAGCAGCTCCCTCTCCCAGGACCCCCAAGGGACCGCTCGAAAGTCCGCAACGGACTCTGCCGCAACGGGTGGGCGTGTGTGGGCTTGCCCACTGCAGCCTGCACCTCCTTGGTGGCCGTGCGACTTGGAGCGCGTGCAGCCTCGGGACCGGCTCCCGCCACCTTAGGCCCCGCGGCTCAGCAACTCCCGCGGTTGTTTTAGGAAGCCCGGAACACAGCTTTCCAATTGCAAACTGCCCGGCTCTCCCTCCCCGCACCTCACGCCGCCCCGCCTCACATTTCTGTATGGACCCCTTGGAAATCGCCATGCTCCAGGTTAGGAAGCATGACGGTCCGCGCCTGGTCTGTGGCCTGAGCCCCATTTCACCCTCCCGCTGCACCCCTGCTTCTCATTTTTCCCAGCTAGGCCATCCCCCTCAGACTCTGCCTTTTCGCCCTCCTCCAACTCTCCAGTTTTCTTTGAAACCGCAGACTCCCTCGGCCTCTCTTTTGGGGTAGGGATGGAGAAGGGAGTTCAGGGTGACAACCAGGGCTGAGGTGAGGCTGTGAACGAGGAAGACTTTTCCCAGACAGTTCCAAGTGAAAGAGTTTCACTTAAACAGAGCTACTTGGGGTGGAGGTTCTGTAAATGAGTCGATCTCCTCCTGAGCGCCTTTCCAACCATCCAGGACCCTCCCTGCACCACAGGTCCTCTTTGCTGTCTAGGACTGGTCGGAACTGGGAAGCCCGCTCCCACTTCATGGTCTGGCTTCTGCTGCAGGCACACCAGTGCACCACCTTCTTAACCGGGGGTCTCTGGGTGGACTTCGGAGTGATCGCAGACCGCCTGAGGTTGCAGGCAAAATGCTGAATGTCTGTTTGCTTTTTCGGGACAGAGGATGGCTGCCTTCCCAGTAGTGGCACAGAGGCTCTGGCAGCTCCACCATTTATGACTTTATGGCTTTGAGCAAGTTGCACAATCTTCTGGGGAGCCTCTGCTCCTCATCTATAACATCGTGAATGTAATTATGTCTGCCTCTTAGGCTTATTAAGAGCAATGTTGCCCTTAGACCTGGGCAACAGGAGCCTCGGCCCTGGGCTCCTGATTTCAAAGGCCCTCATGCTGGCCCTCCTGTGGCCATGCCCCTCCTCACTGGTGAATGAGTCCATGGGACCAAGGGGGCAGGGCAGGTGGGGGCATGCACCTCCTCCCCTTTGAGGCCGTACTCCCAGTGTCAGAAACTCTGGAATTTCCCTATTCCCCAGGTCTGTCCTTTCAAGAGCTGACCATACTGGGTATACACTTAAGTGCTAGAGAAGTAGGCAAGGGACAGCTGTTTGCAGGTGATGGGGAATGGATGGAACTTGACTTACACCCCAGGCATGCACAAGAGCCCCTCTCACTACAGGACCAGAGAAGATCGTGTACCAGGGAATGGCCTGAAAATTCCATTTTGGACATGGTTTTCCAGGTGATCATGAAGGAAAATCAAAGGCAGAGGATAAAACATCAATCTTTTTTTTTCCCCCATTTATTTATTTTATTGCATTTTAGGTTTTGGGGTACATGTGAAGAACATGCAAAATTGTTGCATAGGAACACACGTGGCAGTGTGATTTGCTGCCTTCCTCCCCACCACCTACATCTGGCACTTCTCCCCTTGCTATCTCTCCCCAGCTTCCCACCCCGCAAAACATCAATCTTAACACTTTGTTAATCCTGATTAATATTTAGACGCATGTATAATTTCCATTTGTACCTTTGCTCCAGGCCTTGCAACATCAGAAGTGGACCTAGCTGTAAAGAGGGAATGAGATGGGCCGGGCGTGGTGGCTCACGCCTGTAATCCAAGCACTTTGGAAGGCCAAGGCGGGCGAATCACGAGATCAGGAGATCAAGACCAGCTTGGCTAACACGGTGAAATACAAAATATTAAAAAATACAAAAAATTAGCCAGGTGTAGTGGCATGCACCTGTAATCCCAGCTCCTTGGGAGGCTGAGGCAGGAGAATCGTTTGAACCCAGGAGGTGGAGGTTGCAGTGAGCCGAGTCTGCACCACTGCACTGCAGCCTGGGTGACATGGTGAGACTCCATCTCAAAAAAAAAAAAAAGAGGGAATGAGATATTATCGCATGGAAAAGTGCTTAGCAGACTGCTAGGCACTTAGTACATTTGGATTTAAAGAGGTCTATGGGCCCAGAGGCTAAGCCTCCCAACTCTGTCTCTAGGTTCTCAGGCTGACCCTTCCCCCAGGATGTCCTTGCACTAGATCAGCAGGGCCAGGCACACACACTGACCACTTTATTTTTACAGCAGGGGTCATGTTTCTCAGAGCCCTAGACTGAGGGGAGAGAGGAGGTGAGCCAAAGGGAAGGAAATGACCCCTGCCCAGAGCAGGAGGAGGAGAGGGACAGAGCTGCAGGGATATCTTTAGATCCTGGCAACAGGAAAAGGTAGCCAGTGTCCTCAGTGCCCTCTCCCTGCTTTCCCTGCTACCTCACGGCTACCTCACCAATTCCTAGAGTTTGAAGGGTCCTTAGGAAACCCCCATGCCTTAGAGATGAAGAAAGAGGTTCAGAGAAGTAGAATGTGTAACCCGAGGTCACCTAGAAAGTGACTGCTAAAGTCAGGGTCAGAACCTCCCCCATTACTTCATTTCACCGATCTACACCACAGCTTTCCTCTAAAGAACTCCAGGAAGGCTCCACAGCTGGGCAGAAAGAGTGCTTGGGAAATGCATTAGCTTAAGGGCTAGAGGATTTTTACATTTATAGAGCTCTTTCTTCAAAAATTCTCAAAAACCTGGTCCATTGATCTAGCTCAGAGGCTCCTACTGAGGCCGCGGGGAGTGAAGGGTGTCAAAAGGTCAGAGCTCCTTCTCTCTTACCTTTTGAAAATTATCTTTTCCAGCACCCACCCCCACCATGTAGCGCCTCTTCACCCAGCTCAAGAGTCCCCAGTCACTGCGTAGGGACAGGAAGAAACAGATACCATACCTTGGCTCCTGTCCCTTGGGAGAGGGCAGGGGTGGTGTCTAGTCCCCAGCTGTGGCCGGACAAGCCAGATTCCTGGTGATGGGGTAATGCACACGCCGCTCTTGGGTGGCCTAGCCCAAAAATACATTGAAGAGCAAGTTTTCAAAGATGCAGAGGCAGATTGGGCCCTGTGCCACGGAGCTGTGAGAGAACTGCCTGCTCTCAGGCTGCAGGAGACAGGCCTAGATTTCAGAGGAAGGAGACTGTTTCTTTGGGGATTCATGTATGGTTCTTTGAAGCAGTTGGCCCAACAAAAATCCTCCAGGACCTGGCAACTGACTGTCTCCTCCTCCCTTGCCCTCCCAGGGTGCTAGATTGGAGCTAGGAAGGAGGGTGGGTGCCTGTTTTCCAGGAGGGGCCAGACTGGAGGAGAGTCAGTGCTCTCCTGGGGGAGTGGGGTGGGTAGGAATGGGGCCGAGCTCCAGCTGCCAGCCTCCGGAGCTGCGCTTACAACTGGACCGCATTCACCCCTGGAGCTGGATCACCTTCTACAGATAAGGGGGGGGTATGTGGAAGGCTTCTTCCCCTGCCAGTTCTCAGAAAGCCACCGAGACCCTGTGCAGGGGAGGAAGGGCAACAGAGAGCTCCGAGGAGGTCTCCAGCGCTATTTTGAGAGGAGTTCCTCCTAAGTAACAAGAGCCTGGCAGGGAACCTCCTCCCACTCTGGCTCCCCTGTTGCCCTTGCCCGCCTGTCTCCTTCTCCCTCCTCCTTCCCCATAAACCCTCGCGCTCCAGTAGGGGCATTGCAGGTAACGGAGGGAGCTCGGTGCGGCGCTGACTCGGCTCTTGGAGCTGGAGGACAACGGGCTCTGCAGGGAGTCCCCCTCCCCCCGCACACACCCACTTCACAGCTCCTCTCCAGAGCAACACCAAGAGCTGCATCTGCCCCTCGCCTTACCCGAGCTACCCTCTGGTTTTAAACAGAACCCTGGTCTTAGGACGGAGAAACTGCAGGCAGGTGATTCTCCACTTGCACTAACAGAATGTCCACAAATCCTTTTGTCACTTGGGCTGGGGTTGGGTAGACACTACCCTGACAAACTTTTGGGAGCTTCCTTCTGCTGCACCGAGGTCTGCTCTCTACCCTCCCCTACTCACCACCCCTCCCTCCAGCTCAGAGCACCGGCTTGCCTCCAGCCAGAGTCTCAGCATCCACTGAAGTTTGGCAGGTGCTGAGGGGGTTAACAGGACAGCATGCACCAAACTAACCCGCAGTCCAGCCAGGAAGACCACACAGAGTCCACCTCACACCATCGAGCTGGAGTAAAGATAAACTCTGAACCCTTCTCCCAAGGAGAGTGGATCACTTCTTCTCACTCCTCTCTGCTTTCTAGGGGCTCTGGGCAGAGGCAGGTAGGCAGCCACCTCCTCCATCCATCCTTCCCATCCTCTGTTTCTGTTTTCTGCCAGGTTCTGTCCAAACATCCTTTCAGGCTAAGGGGGGTAGGGAGCCCCAGACAGATGAGCTCATTGGAAGGAGGAGAACAGAGGGAGGAGGAAGCTGAAATTCCCTGACCAGAGGGCTGCTCACCAGACAGTCCCAAGCTGGAGAGGGTGTGTGCCCACTTCCAGGAGCAGGCCTGCGCTTCCCGTGCAGTAGCTCCAAGAAGGGGTGAGTCCTGGACATCTCTTTACTATAGGCCACACTGGGGTGGGATTTGAAGCCCCC